GGCCGTTGGTGACGGTGTCGGGCAGCAGCGGCCCCGGGGCCCGCCCCGGAGGGGCTCCGCTGCTCACGGGCCTCCAGCTGCCTCTGCCCCACCGACCGCAGCTCTGACCGCTCCCTTCAGCCGGTTCCCAGCCCCGCCCGGCCTGGCCCCCCAGCGCGCACGGCCCAGTCCGGCCGCCAGAGGCTGCGGGAGCGTCACACGCCTCACTGAGATCGAGGTAAAGGCACCCACTGCTCTGCAGTCATCTGTCCGCCCGGTTATGGCCTCATGGAAGGCCGCCAGGCTGGTTAAACATGACTTCTCCTCGGTAAAACCGTATTGACTTGGTAAAGCCATGTTTAACCACCACACTGCAAAGCCAAGGCACATGGCAGTAACTGAGAGAACTGTTACCTCAACGGGGGCTCTCGGGCCTGCAAACTGATAGCTGAGCTGAGCTTTTTGAGGTCTGGAACAGATACCTAGCGACAGCCACTGGGAGCCCTCCTCTCCGCCCTGTTGCACCTGCTCCTGACCACTCAGGGCTCCTGCCTGCACAGCTAAGCAGTGATCCTTGGATCACTGGTCCCTGTAGATCAGCTGTAAGGTGGCTGAAGGGCAGTGCTTTGAGCAGCTTGTTCCTGCTCATGTATCAAAACAATAGGGTAGGTTAAGTAAAAAAAAAAATTAAAATAAAATTAATTAAAATTCCCCAAGTTCAGAGCAACTTTAGTTACAGTGCCCATCTTAGTTCTTGTTATTCCCCTTTCCTCTTCCCCTGAACCAGCATAATGGAAGATTGCAGAGAAGTGCCTGCACCCTGTAGTCCTCTTCTTAGACAGAATGCCTTCGTTTAGGCTGTCAATTTATTTAGTCTGTCCAAGAAGAGGAGTAATTTTGTTCCACTGTGAAAGTAAGATTAAAAGAAGGCGAGGAGGTTGTGCCACCCTTGAGTACTTGCTGTCCCTTCTACAAAATTGCTTCTTTTTGCAGCCAGAATGTGAAACGTGTTTGGCTGAGGAGAGAGAGCACAAGCCAGCCTATCTCCACAGCCTAGTGATGACAGAAGTAGAGAAATCCTAATTCTAGTGGGGGATGTGCTGGTAAGCATGCTGAAAGGAGAGTTTAAGCAGCTGTTTGGCAGTGCCGAGTGCTCATTTAACTGGGTTTGATCTGGGTTATGAGGGCCAAAGTGAATTATAATTAGATCTGAGCTCTCCAACAGCCCTGAACGTCTTTTATTTCTACAAGACTCTTTAAATGGCAGAATCGATACCCCACCTAGTGGCCGCCGGCATTCTTAGTCATTAGGTTTTTATACTCTGCTAGTTTTACACTGACACCCCCAACACTTAGCCCGTACATTTGCCTCTCAATACTGTCAGCAGCCATCCTAGTTTCTGCTTGGTAGCCGTAAGACAGGCAGACCCACCTTCACGGGGATGCTCTGGAACACAGCTGGCTCCCACAAAGAATGGGCTTAACTTCTGAGAGTTTAAATATTGTCCCAGATGTGGACAATAAGTTAAGATTTTGCTCAGGGCTTCTGGGTAGAGGAAGTAAAGTACTCTTTACTTCCTCGAGTGAAGTACTCTTAAATTAAAAAAATACACAGCTCTCCCAGGAGTCCTGAATCCTGAATGCAGTTAATGAAGCTTCTCTTTTGCTAAAGGTTTAGTCATAGTACTCAGTCTTTGCCTTCTCTTTGCAGCCACTTGCCTTAGCTTGAGCTGCTAAAAGTATATGTGGGAGTTTTAACTGTCCCTTTTGAACTTCCCTGTTACTCCAGTCATGAGACTTCCTGATCAGCCTTTAATAAACCTGTAAGAAATCAGTGATTAGGCACGAGGCAAGTCCACCCATCCCACACGTTTCTCTCTTCTCCAGTAAAGCTGTCCTACCAGAGCAGGAGTTCTGGGGGAGGGCAGCTTCCCATCCAGAGGCCAGCAGTCACTGCCTCTGTTCTGGGCTCGGCAGCCAGATGCCACTGCCCTTCTGAATTGTGGTAAGATGGAGATGGGAAGGTCAGTGGATTTACATGGGCAGACACACACAAATTTCATCATTTCAGCCAGAATTCTGGAGCTGTGTAGAAATTTAAGCAATCTCTAGATTGTGTGTGTGAAGAAATTCCAGTTTGTCAAAACTGAATTTTCTCATGGGAATGTATTTTCAGTGACTAAAACCTTCCCAGGAGAGTGTTCTGTGATTCTACGTGGCATGTCTGGTCAGATGCAGAGCAACAAAGTCAAAATAGTTGATGGCTAAAATGTATCTGATCCAGAAAATCTAATTTCAGTTTTCAGTCCCTTCACAGGAACTTGACCCAGTCTCACATACTGGGTGAATGCCCAAGGACAGGGTGGCTGGCGGTCAGTGCAGACCTCCTGCTGCCTCCTAGTGGAACTGCTCTATCCTTCACCTGCCACCTGTACCCAAAATCCCAAGATTTGCAGAACAGCAGGCAGAACATGCACTGTTTTTTGATCCACTTGAGGCTGAGAAATACATGCCCCTCACTGATCAACCTTTGATTGCTTCTCACACACTTCATCTGAAGGGTAACAGCAACTTGAATGCTGGGTGTGCTTTGCATCTGTTCTTAGTAAAGGTCAGACCTTTCCCTCCTCCAGCCCAATGGCCTCAGTACAGGGCACCTGGTCAGTCGGGCAGAAGCGCAGCAGGACGACAAGGGAGGTTTCTATCAGGTAAAGCCTGAGCAGTGTGAAACCAGATGCCATATGAAGAGCTTTGTGTAAACAAATGCTTTAAGTCTCTGGCCTCCTGACTTTTGGGTATGTAAACCCATGCAAGATGGATGCACTGGTGTTTTGGTATGACGATTACAACTGTTTCAAGGGTAGCTGGAGCAAAAATCCAGTGAATCTGCTTTCCTATCTACTGTGGAAAGAGGAAGCTTAAGGGAAGACTGCAAGAACAAGGGGAGAACAGAGCTTGTTTTTACACCCTCCTGTCTACTGCTGATCTGTGGTAAGGAATTTTACAAACAGAAGTTGCATCAGAACTCTTCCATTCAAAGTCTGCCTTTGTTTAAGAACAAATATTCGTGGTACACTTCACCTGTCAGTTACAAATTATCTTAAAACTTTTTTTTTTTTAAGTAACTGATCTAAAGTTCTCTACCAACCCCTGTAAAGTAGAAAATCTAGTTTGTTTTAAAGCACCTTTTGAACTTAAAGCATATAAAAACATTATAGACTTCTCTTTTTGAATTATAATTATTTCACAGTGCTTACATAAGAACACCTTACAAATACACTTAACAGCTTGAAGTGGTTTTAGATCAATGCATGCAGCTCTCACTCAGAAATTCTCACTATGGTGAAGTCAGAAAACTAGGTCACTCTTGTTTCTTAAGGGTAAAAAAGTAAATAAAAAGCCCTCATATGTACTAGGTAAAACGTGTTTCCAGCTTTCCTTGTGGGAAACATCCACGTTGGTAGGTGAATGGCTTTCATGCATCTTCTATAGTGGCTTATCACTGCAAAGGTTCTTATCTTAAAGCAACAAGTGCACAGGAGTTACTCTGAAATTAAAAACAAAAACAAAAAAATCATCAGTAAAGCTTTGTTTTTTAATTCTACAGCAAGGGAAAGTGTCTAAAATGCTGCACCATAACAGATGCCTCAACAGCTCTGATCCACAGGAGCAGGTGTTCTGTTCACTGTTTTCCTGCCCCGGGGAATGCCACTTGGCTCCCCTGGTGTAAACTACCCAGCCCTTCTTCAGCAGAGACAGCCAGGCCTGAACATAACATGCTGGGTTACAATGTCTTCTAAATATGAGCCGGAACAGCACTTTCCAAAATTTCTGAGAGATGCTTTCGACGCTACAGGAAAAAGGCATATTAACATTTTCCCAGCCAGTCTCCCGTTTCTCCCTTGCATGGGACCTGGCAAGGTGGGTGCAGCTGCCTGGGTTGCACAGCAGTGGGTGGGACAGCCCTCCTGGAAATCCCCATGTACCAAAGTACTCCTCACTCTGGCACATACAGGGATGTGGCCAAGAAGAGTTGGAGGTGCAATACATCTTTGCAAATTCTCTACTGAGAGAAGGAGTATCATGCAATTCCTTGGAGGTCCTTAGCTGTGAAACAGTAGGCTACACAGCCAGATCTTCTTAATTAGTGATGTGTTAAAAAATTATGACTGAACCAGTAACTCCCATGTAGGGAGGTCTCAGGAGAATCTTGGCTTAAGTCAGTTCTGTATGAGCTATTTCAGTGGAGCACTGGAAATTTCATCACTTCTAGTATGTGTGTAGGGATAAAACTGTTGATTAGATCATTGTGTTTCATGCAGCACAGACTATTTCTGGGTGTTCCTTTCTAATATATTTGGAGACCATCAAATATAGCTGAATTTATTTCTATTAACAGAATAAATGCTATAAATGCATTTGAAAAAGCTTTTGTTTTTCTTCTTTTACAAGGACAAGTACTTTGAATATGTTTTTTGGATGTGTTCAGCGAATGAGAGTCTAAGTTCACATTTATTTTTATTCAACAGATGTGGAAGTTTCTAAGGAAGAGGACTCTGAAAATAGTTGCAAGTCTCTGCACTTGCTCAGCATTTCAAGAATAGGTACTTCTGTCTTCCCTTGAATACTTATTTTAACTTGTCAGTCCCATGAAAATGTAAACTGCTCAATATCTAAAAAATATGTCTGCTGGGTATTAATTTAAGAAACAAATTAGGAAAAACTTGTAAGTCCAAGACTGTCTCGTGTTTTGCTCTGAAGAGATTGAAAAGCTTCCAGGTGTGTCATTTTAATCCTCATAGTTTACTGACAGGCAGTTTAAAAATACCTTCCATCTTTCTGCAGAGCTTCTGCACCTCAAGAATCATAAAATGCTTTGGGTTGGAACAGGCCTTTAAGGGTCATCCAGTCCAACCCCCTGACTTCTGAATTGGTCTGGGGGCTTTGTCCTTTCATGAGAAGCTTCACATCCTCCATTTTTGCAGGGAAAAGTCCTGCTGTTACAGAACTTGACTCTGCAAGTCTAAGAGGAGTTTGACCTCCTTATTCACATGTTCCTTTATGATAAAATACAGATGGCAGAAATGATGCAGCAACAAAGGGCAGATTTTTAGGAGATGGGATTTAAGGACTCTGTATGTCAGTTCTTTAAGCAGACTGAAAAAGGAATTATTAACAACCCCTGTTGAAATCACAAATGTCTTTTCTGTCTTTATATTGAAATTAAGTTTCTGACACAGCTGCTTTTACTGCCAGTACTGGAATGTGACCTCATTCACTTCTGTGCCTTTGCCCTTGTCAAAACTCTAAAACTAAAAAGCTTTAAGGAAATTAAAAGAGAGAATATTTTTTGCGTT